GTAATCAGTAGGATCTGAACTGTCGGCGACACGGGTCCTCTTGTGGTGGTCTTGCGATCTGTGTCGACCTCTGTGTTTTTTTTTATTGTTTGTTAATGGAGCTTGTGGAGCCCACCGATTTTACGTAAGAGTCCAGGATTATGGATCAGACGTGTCTGAACGGGGGGAGGGAGATCAAAGTGAGAACATGCAGGAACAAATATAACATGTAGTTGCAGAATATTTTTGATCGGGGAGGAAAAATGAAGTTGGAAAAAATGGAAAAATAAAAGAGGAAAAATGAAGTTGGAAAAAATGGAAAATAAAAGATGTATCGGGGTACGTCTGAGCAAAAAAACGTAAAATAGCTGCCGTGTGGTTTTCTTCGCTGCCATGCCATGTGGTTTCTTTGTGATAAACAAGTGCCACAAGAAGTGGGCCACTAACTGGCAATAGCGTTTAACAGCAGGGTATGAACTGTCGGCTCTTTTTTTTTTTCTTGAACTGTCGGCTCATGGGTCAACATATCAACATTTGATGGATCTGTGGGACCGAGCTGAGTGCAAGGAGCTTCGGAGCTTCCCTCTTTTGGGGCGGGGATACGTGGTGGGAATTGAAGGGAAGCAAGAGGAGGGGGGGGGGGGGGGGGGGGGGATGGGATACGTGGTGGGAATTGAAGGGAAGGCGGGGCGGGGGGGATTCAGAAATTGTAATGCGATTCCGGATTAGGAAAGTACAGTATGTGGTGGAAACTGAGTGAAAAAGAACATCGATCTACAGCGAAACAGGATGAGAAAGGAACGAAATGAAAAACACTGAAATAGGAAGGAAGGTTAAAGGTAGGCAGGCATACGAAGATGTGTGGATGTAAATGGGGGTGAAGCGGTTGGGACAAATGATGGGGGTGTGTAAGTGGGTTTTGCTGTGAGGTATGGGGGGTGGATGTGGAAGAAGGGGTTGTCAAGAGTGAATAGTGTTAAAGGGGTGCATGTAAATGGGGGTTGAAGCGTACTGGAACTCGGAAGAAGGGAGTGCGTGAGTGAAGGGAGGCGTGGCGACTGGAGGCCCTACCCGGTGCCCCTAATCGCTGCCCCCGTCGCCCCCCCTCCCCTCCCCGACCTGCCAGTGTGTGTCTGGGTAGGCGGGCCCCGGGTGGGGAGTCCCCACTGTGCATTACCGTGCAGCTCCCCCAGACCCCCCCGCCTCCTCCAGATCGCGTCCAGGGCGATGGGGGTACGAGGCCATACTGGTTTTCTGTTCTCTCTTCTCTGGTGTCCATGCTTGCCGGTGATTAGCAACTGGACTTCTGCCCCCCAGAATAGATGGCGGGCGGCGAATGGTAAGTAAGTCGTATCAGCCTCAACCCGTTTATATTTAGAAAGCAGACGGCCTCTTGAGATATCACCATCGAACTGATGGGCCCTAGGTAATTCAGAACTACAGTATGTCATTCATTCATCTGCTTCCAGTGGGGTTGGAACTCGGGCCTGGATTTCAGCAGTTCACATATGTTTAACAGGGGTGTAACAGCTGACCTAGGCCAGTTGGTATCGGTCTTCGATCCTGTGATTGGTACTGAATTATGTTGTTTTGAAAAAAGGAAAAGAAAGGAAGTAGTGGTAAGTCATATATGCGGATGGTGAATGATCTGCAGGACCTCAATCCGCACGTCAGATGTGGAGCAGGATGTTGATCGGGAGTGGTGGCCGCCGAGTTTTTTTTTCTTCTTTAAACTTAATTTTATTTTATTCCATTTTTAAATACAAAAATTTGGGCTATTAATTTAATTTTATTCTAGGCTACCAGCCGGGCCGCCCGGGTCACCCTGTTCTCCGGAGTAGCCCGGCCGTCCCAGCAAAAAAAAAAAAGAAAAAAAAGAATAGAAAATTGAAAAGATGTTAAAAAAAAACATGGTATGTAGAAAAATAAACTGAACAACTATTGCCTCGGGGTCACACTCGAAATTCTTTACCAAGTTTAAAATAAAAATTAAAATTAAAAAATAAAATTTATTTTTGTTTTTTATTTTTTTTGGCCCTGGCTGGGCAAGTGGTCCCGGGCCTCTCTTGTAGTCTAGATTTTATTCCATTTTTAAATTAAAAATTGGCCCTTTTGTGTATTGATGCGTGTCATCCTTGTGCAGGGGCCTTGCTAATCTTCATCCTCTGTATTGTTCCAATTTTAACGGATGTCCTGACGGACTGTTGTTTTTAATTTTGTGCTGTGTTTCTTGGGAGGGAAAACAAGATTGCGCAATGTAGCGCTACCCAACAGATGTATGCGTAAAATGGGCAAGGTGCAGATCGTCCACTTGGACATCTTTACGTCCAGGTGCATTCTTGATCAATGTTGGATTGTTTAATTATATTCCAAACATGAGCCCGCTGTTAATGGACTTTTTCTTTTCCCGCGAAAGAAAAGGAGAACGAGGGTAGGGACAAGAGAAACAGCAGCAGAAGAATTCTTGCGGGCTCCCGTCTTCGCCCGGTTATTATGGCTGCATCTGAACTGAAAGTTGGCCCGATATAATGACCGGGCATTCTATTTGGGTGAAGACGGTAGCCCTTGTGGGGGAGGCGGTGGGTAATGGCAGGAGCAAGAAACAGGAAAAAAAAGAATGCCCCAATCGTGTGTGATGGGTGCATTTTGTTACGTTGTTCCTTCTCCCCGCCCCCCTTTTTTGAAAACCCCATCGCCAGTTAACACAGAGCTAAGTTGAACGTAGGCCTCTTTTTCTCTTTATCTCCCCCATCTGGACTCTGTTTTATAAACTGTATGTCATGAACGCAGACTTACAGGAATGCGCCGAGGGAAGCGGGTTAATGATTGGAGAAAAAAGAAAGGGACGGACTAGGGGGCGATCTCGCTTAATCCGGAAACGTTTCCGTTTTCAGATAAATGCGAGTATAGATAAGAGAGACATGAGCTATAGAATTGGAATTGACGAATAAGTCAAAAGGGCAAAAAACACGACCGTGTAGGAGAAAAAATGCGTTACTGCGTAGGCAAAAAAAACGCCCATATGTAAGTACCACAGCGTTCATAGGTACCCGCTTACAACCACTGTGATACATGCCATAGCGTTTGGAGGTACCCGTGCACAACCACCTGTGGTAGATTAACGCCTTTTTTCTCGAATGGCTGTGAGCGGTACCCACTCGCACCCACTGTTGTGAGCGGTACCCACTCACAACCACCGTTATTATATCAATTGAGAAACCTGAGAGGTGAGTATATGAATCGTATCATTGTTTTCTTTGGTGGTCTTAGATAATCTAGTCCATATCCACTGCCAGAGAATCTACACGTAAGACGGCATTTTGATCCAAAATTTCAAATGTCGAGGAATGAGATTGGGTGTTTGCGCTTTCCTCCCCCCCGTTCGCGGGGAAATTATGAGCGCGAGGGAACTCTGTGGGGTATTTCAGCAATAAATTACCAGATGTGACTAAACAATTCAGGCGAGGTGGAGGTGCCTGGAGACGAGACCAAAAAGCTGGAGGAGGAGAAAATTTGAGAACGTCCAAGATGGTGAAAGCCGAAGGAAAAGTCTTGAGAAAAGATGAACACTGCTTTTGTGCTCTCCCTGTTGCATACAATAGGGGATCTCTGCTTGTTTCCCGTCTGTCTATCACGTTCATAGGCTCCTCACCATTCTCAGTGTCACGAGCTTACGAGTTAAAAGTAGTTAGACAACTGAGAAACCATCAGCGGAGTTTCGCCATATAAAAGAAATAAGTAAATAAAAGGAGGAGGTCGTATCTTCACTACCGTTGGTCTCTCTATTTTCTGTTCGTCTCTGTCTCTGGCTCTCTACCTGCCTGCCTGCCTGCCTGGCTGTCTGTCTGTCTGTCTGTCTGTCTGTCTGTCTGTCTGTCTGTCTGTCTGTCTGTCTGTCTGTCTGTCTCTGTTGTCTCCGTCTCTTCGCCTCTATCTCTCCGTGTGTCCATCTCTCACTTTTGTTTCACATGCAAGCATTGGCTGTGCGACAATGTATGGGAGGTCTTTCGCTTCATGCGTCAGTGAACTACATCCACAGGCACTGTAGGCGAGCCACCTTAACAAGGGTGGAGATTCAGATTCACTATGTGTGCAGGGGTTAATCCTTGCTTCTCGGAGCAATGGATCATGTAAGGATAGACAGTCAAAACCAGCAATACAAGCACTTGGGTGAATGCAATGATCGGCCGAGTGAAAATTCTGGGGCAAAAATTCATGCCATAGGGTCACCGAAGTGCATTCAGAAGTCCCAAGGCTGATAGCCTTTTGGGACACAGCGCCGTGACTGGGTTTCCGGTGTCCGGGAAAGTGATGCGGGCCCAGGAAAGTTGGAAGCCAGGCCCTATCCGAGAAGCAGACCAAGAGTCAAAGATTTCTCCAGACGGCCCAATCCCACGCAAATCCAAAGACTCTGAAATTGTTTCCAGATTCATTCAGAGCCTGCTGGGTGCAAGCAGCCAAAGATTGTGGTTGCATCTTTGCCGCACAGGCGAACAAATCTCAGCCCAGCTAGTCGACCTCACTGCATTTGCGACACATTCTGCTTGGCGCATTGATGCTGGAGTGCTGCTGAGTGCACGCGTGCTTGTGTTGGGCACGGGAGGAGTGGGAGTGGCTGGAGCGTAGGGGATGGTGGCGGGGTGGGGGGGAAGGAGTCCAGTGGGAAATCATGTGGTGATCTTGGCATTTCCTCAACAACTTGACACCCATTCCAGAAAAAAAAAACGTTCAGTACGATAGCAGGGCACCTTAGGAATCGATGCTTATAGCAGGGCACCTTAGAAATCGACTCTTATGAATATGTAAAAGAGTGGAGGAAGGAAGCAACAGAAATGCGGGTGGGCATTGCTTTTGTTACAGCAATGCTGGACTTGCTTCCCTTGCTGTTCCTCAGCAATGCTGGGCTGGGCTTGGTAGATTGATTGACTGATTGATCGACTGATTGATTGATTGATTGATTGATTGATCGACTGATTGATTGATTGATTGGTTGATTGATTGATTGATTGCTTTGTTGGCAGTTCTAAGGGAGATCAAGATTCTGCGCTTGTTTATGCACCCGCACATAATACGGTTGTATGAAGTCATTGAGACACCAGCGGACATTTATGTCGTTATGGAGTATGTAAAGTCAGGGGAGCTGTTCGACTATATTGTAGAAAAAGGACGTCTTGGAGAAGATGAAGCGCGGCGTTTCTTCCAGCAGGTACTTCCTTCTCTTTTGTCTACGTGCTTCTCCCTTTCTAATCTTATATCTTCATGCACTCTTTTTGTGTCTTATATGTTGATGCGAAGGATCCCTAGCTGGCTGTTTGTTTGTTGGATCGGGGGGGGTGCATTTTGCTGCAACTCTGGTGTAGGAAATGACGAGTGTGATGAGTGGTAGGTGATGGCCATTTTTTTTTCCCCTGTTGCAAAGTGTTAATGCCCTTTTACGCCGTGTAATGTCTCGTTCTTTTTGCAGATTGTGTCCGGCGTGGAGTACTGCCATCGAAACATGGTGGTGCATAGGGACCTGAAGCCTGAGAACCTGCTTCTGGACTCCAAATGCAATGTAAAGATTGCAGACTTTGGTCTGGGCAATGTGATGAGGGATGGCCACTTCTTGAAGACAAGCTGTGGAAGTCCTAACTATGCAGCTCCTGAGGTGAGTGCAGGCCACCAAAGTGTTGTGTTACAGAAACTGGGGGGAGAGATCTGCGAAGATGGCAGTGGATTGGTGTTGGATTTTGGACAGAGGGAGGTAGGGAGGGAGATCGATCTGGAACAACCTCAGAACAGGAGACCAAAAAGAAACAAAAGGCGGGTGTGCTCGTATCCATGAAGATACGATGACAAACTGATCTGATGTGTGAGAAAGAAGAGACCGGAAATTGTTGGCATCTGAGGGATCGAAAAAGAGTTTTATATGAAGCTCGTAAGAAACGGGTACAGAACTGACAAGAAGCCGGGACTGCAGGGCGCTGTCTTAGAGCACATCTCCACGTAGGCCTAAGTTGACGGAGCTACCTTCCAAGACTCCCCAGCCTCTGGTAGTTCGAATTCGTGGTGGCCTTCCGCGTCTGATATCGGCCCGAAGCGTCATGGCCTTAGCGTGTAAACTGGAAGAGCCGGAGACCGAAGTAGATGGTACAGCTGGAAAGGGAGGGTTTAATCTGGATCCATGTATTATTATTATTATATTGCTATGATCTGGAGAAAGAAAGGTTCAGCTGCATAGGGGTGTTATCTAGGTTCCTTTTGTCAGTGTTTGCTCTGTCCGGGGTAGCTGTTCCAGTGTATCATGATGACCGGCACCGAGTGCCATAAATGGCTTGATTCTCCCCCTTCTTGTGACTAGAAGCGATCTGCTTATCCGGATTGTTGGTGGGGCGGTTACCTGCTGAGCTGCCAAGCGCTTGTCTGTGTGATTGGGGTCTGCGGCGCATGCATGATGATGGCAGTGCATGCGATGCAATGAATCGATGTGTTCATAGGCGTTTTATTCCCGCTTCTCTTGCTGACCGTATGTAAAATCATGGTTGTTTTGGTGACACTCTTAGGAGAGAAAACGTGTGGGCCTACTAGAGTGTGGATTATTTGGGCATGCTTGGTCATAACAATAGCAGTTTAAGAGAGAAAGCGTGTGGGCCTACCAGAGTGTGGATTATTTGGGCATGCTTGGTCATAACAATATCAGTGGTAAAGAGATGAACAAGGACAGGAAGAGTTGTCCAAGTGAGTAAGAAGAGGAGGAAGGAAAAGGCAGAGAGAGACGGGCTTCAAGCACAATAAAGAAGAACAATAAAGGTTGTGGGCTGTTCACCTCAACCACCGCTGTTCGGGAGGCAAATCGTCTACCCAAAGCAAAAGCTTTTTGGCGGTGGGGGATGTGCGGCACATTGGATTCCTTTGGTCTTGTTGCTTTTTTTTCGTAGGATCATGATCTAAGCATCCTGCACAACTTTACAGATGTGATTTTCTTTATGAAGGTACGTTGAGAACTATTTTCCGACACTGCTTTGAGAGTTCTGGGACGTTTGCACAAATCTGTGGATTCGAATGTTGCTTCTAGATGCTCAAGAAGGCTCTTAAATTGCTGTGTCAGAAGGAATGGTTTGGGACGTTGGAGATGCTGGGCGGTATGTTATGGCCACTTTGCAAAAGTGAGCCGTTGAACAAACAGAAACGGTCCTGTGGTTGGAACGAACCTGTCTGCAATCCTGGAAGTGTTCGAAACAAAGAATGGTTGGAATGAACCTGACCGCGATTCTGGGTGTTCAAGACAAAGAATGGTTGGAATGAACCTGACGTGATCCTGGAGGTGCTCAAAACAAAGAAGAAAAGGAAACCAATTCTTGTGTGTTTTGTCGGAGAGGGTCGTGAAAAGCAGCCTTTGTTGCAGCAGATTCCAAACAAAAAAACGGGAGTGCACCTCATTGGATGGTGGAAGAGTAAAACAGCCCTCTGGTTGGAATGGACCTGACAGCGATCGTGGAATAGTGCAGAAGAAAAACGATTGGAAGTATCGTTCTCTCTGTGGTTGTCAGAGAGGCGATGAAGAACGACCCTCCTTGTGTCAGATGGCAGAACAAAACAGAATGCACCTCAGAGAGGGCCGTGAAAAACCGTTGCAGATGGGAAAATGAAACAGGATGCAGCTATGCTGCCTCATATATTTTATGTTTTCCTTGTTTCTTTTTTTTCCCCTTCTTCTTGAAGCCTGTGGTAAGGTCCCGCTTGCATGGATGACCGTAGACTAATGGGACCGTAGGGAAGAGGAAATGAAGTAAAATGGGCGTGGGCTGTGGGCTGGGTGTGGTGGGCTGTAGGCTGCGGGCTGTGGGTTGTGGGCTGGGTTCAGAGAGATGTGGGGTGGGGTGCAGTACTATGTGGACTGGGTACGACACTGTGCGGACTGTATAGCACTATGTGGGCTGCTGCATGGGCTGGGTGCAGTATGCACCGGCTAGGTGGCAATGTGTGGAGAGGGTGTTGTATTGTGTGGGCTGTGTGTGTAGTATATGAGCTGGGCGTGATTCTGTGTGGGTTGAATATGGTACTAAGTGGGTTGGATATGGTACTGTGTTATGATCCTGGCCAATTTCGAAGTACAAAATTCATGAGAAAGCACACTGCCGTCCAATTGCAAAAGAAATGAGTGAGCTTCGGAGGAGAGCGAGGCAAAGAGGAAGAAGAAGAAAGAAAGATGGAAGAAAGAAGAAGAAGAAGGTGTACACCAGCAAAGACCAATGATAATTTCCTTTTTCTCGCCAACCACTCTCCTCCTCCTCATATCACCCTCTTATTTCACAATAAATAATAATAATAATGTTGAATGGCTGAACCAGAATCAATGTCCGGGTCCCTCTTCTACTGCTTGGCATAACATGAGGTCCTTCATAGCCATGGCCGCCTCCTTTCTCTTCGTGAAGGCCTTGCCCGCTGTGCAAAAGACAACTCAAAGCAGCTATGGCTGCTCCTGCTCGGGCGGCCATGCCTGACTCTGCCTCGAAGCTTCTTGATGTAGCTCTACCCCAATGGGGCCTGCCAGATGCAGCGCCCACCAGGGTGATGAAGATGGCATCCACCATAGCCAGGCAAGTACCTCTGGTGCTCCCCATTCCTAGTCCTCGTCTTCGTCCTCCTCCAGCCCGGGCTCCTCCACCATAGCCAAGGTGGGGAACTGGGCGCTCCTGCTTCCCCAGCAGCGCTGCTTCACCCAGCGCTGCTCAAGCCAGCGCTCCAGCAGTGTGTTGCCAAACTTGCACCCGCAGAATGAGGAGGAGCACTTTGCTCCTTCTGGAGATATAGCGGCCCGCGTGCCTCTTGGGCGGTGACTTCCAGGCTGGGTGGCCTCCAAGCAACCGGTACCGCCTCCCTTTCGGAGGGAAACGTCGTTGTAGACTCTGATGTTGCCCGTACAGGCCTTAGACTCAGACTACTAGGACTGGTACCTGCCTAGACCTAGCGTACAACTACTGGGCCTCTAAAAATGCCAACTTTTGTTTTCTTCTGCTCGGCCACGAGTACCCGACACACCTACTTGGTGTGGTAGTGGCCTACCTGCTACTTGAGTGTTTTTCCACTGCTCTGAGTGTCGTGGGCGTCTTTTCCTGCCACTTGAGTGTTTCCTCTGCTGCAACCCTCAATGTCACGGCCACAGGCAAGTACCGGCCGGCCCTCCGGGCGGCCCGAACGAACGAGTACCCTTGCAGAGTCGCACGTACTCAAACCGTCAAGCACTCAGACAGGCACGCAGAACAGCAAGCACGCACATACACAGACTTAGAAAACTCAGCAACAAGCGGGAAACTGAGCAAGGCATACATTCTTCCATTGGCAAAACTCAGAAATCAGCTGTGTGTCTCAGTCTGTGTTTGGCAGGTCCTTACAACTGTGTCGGCTGAGTGTGGTATTATGTGGGCTGGGTGTGATACTAGGTGAGTTGGGTGCAGTTGTCTGTGGGCTTGGTGCAGTAGTACTATGGCGCCTGTGAGTGGGAATTTGTGATGTGGGTGTGTTATTGTGTTGGCTGGGTGTGGGGAAATTTTGAATTTGGTGTACTCTAATGTTTGCTGGGTGTGGAAATCTGTGATGTGGGTGTGGGTTGGTTGTGTTACTCTGTGATGTGGATGCGAGTTCGTTGTGGCACTATGTGAGGTGGGTGCAGTGGCCTGTTGGCTCGGTGCAGCACTATGTGGCTTGGTGTGGTACCATGCGGGGTTGGTGCAGTACTATGTGGGTTTTCTGCAGTAGTTCGTGGGCTGGGTGTGGGCTGGGTGTGGTATTATCTGTGCTAGGTGTGGGCTGGGTGTAGGCTTGACGTGGTATGGGGTGGGTGTGGTAGTATGTAGGGTGGGTGCAGATCTTCGTGGTTTGGTGGAACCCTATGTGGGCCAGGTGTGGTACCTTCTTGGCTGGGTGGTAGAGTGTTAGCTGTTTCTAATACTATGTTGGCTGGGTGTGGTACTGTGTGTGTTAGGTGCGGCAATATGGAGGCTGGGTGCAGTACTAGGTAGTCCGGATGTCGTGCTGGGCGTGACAGATGTGGCAGTATGTGGGCTAGGTGTGGTAGTATGTGGATTGGGTGTGTTACTATGTGTGGTGGGCATGGTACTTTGTGTGTTGGGTGTTGTACTAAGTGTAAATAAAGGCAAATATCGAGAGAATGAGGGGCAGGCAGGTCTAGAAGTTGAAAACGAACGAGTGGAGCTTTGTCTGTGCAGTGGCAGTATGGGTCCATGGAATGACCAGACACTTTTCTCCTCTCAAATGTAGAAAGGAAAAAGTTGATCTCAGAAGTGACCTTGTTTATGGCGGTCAAACGAGCATAGTTTAGTGGTTCCACAAAAGTGAAACCATGAGCCTGGCGGGACCGTGAGGGCCTCTACTCTCCCCCTTGTTCTTTTTTTTTCAAGCAAGAAGTATCCTTCTCAACTCCTTGGGTTATGCCTTAATCCCGTGATCTCTTCCTTGGCTGCTCTGCTCTGCTAGGTGTGTGGGAACCGTTTTGTGATGTCATGCTTCCACAATCTCTTTCTTTTTTGAAATGTGGTTCTGTTGTTGTCATATGACCATCTTCTATTGCTGGGCCGCTCTGCTCTGCCCTGCCAGATGTGCAGAAAACCTTCCTGTGTTGGCACTACTTTCTTTGGGATCATAATT